CACACACACACACACACACATATTTTCATGTTGAATTATATCTAAATGCTAGAGAAATTTTCTGCAACAAGACATTAGGTTATCTTACACTTGATTCTTCAACTGTCACATCCCAAAAATAACTGGAATAATATTTTGCTGGTCCATTTTTATGCCTTGAATAAGAATCCAAAAACCATTATTCTCCATATAGTGTTTTTGCAGGGAGATCTGGCCCTGAAGTCTGAAATTTTCATCATTAAGCATGTATAGGACAGTTTCCACCCTCCTTGCAACTAACCTAACATTGCCTGGCGGTGAAAACTGGCATATTTTTTTTTGTTTTTGTGCAAGTTAAAGGTTTGGATCAGACCTCCACCAATTAACCTTTTTTTATAGAATTTTTGATAAAACTTGTTGACTATGTGAAATAAAATCCTTTTTCAATATTTCAGAAACTCATTGACTTCAGGTAAAAATCCATAAAATAAGTAATCATATTTGAACCAGACAAACTGCTAAAAACATTAAATACTTGGGTACTTCATGGTAGAGGTCAATTATAATGTTGCAGTATGATAGGAGATGTAGTGTTTTTCATGGAACAAGATGGTACAGTCATTTACACTTAACCATATCAGGCTTTGTTTCATCAATAATGCTACTTTGTTAGGCTGTGTGTACATTAGACCTTAAAAAACTGTTTAGATGGGCACAGAGAATCATCAAAAAGAAATATTTATAAATTAATATAAATAGGTTTTATTACCTGTTGGATATGTTAATTAAAATATTCTGATTAACAGCTTAATGACTTTTTTATATTTTGGTGTGGTAAAGCCATTTTTAATAGTGCACCAATGATCATAAGCATGATGAAACTGTGTGAAGTGTTTTTAGAATCAAAACAAAATTTAGTTTTATAAGGTGAAAACTTTATAGGAAAGTTTTACAAAAATGTAGGAAGAAATAATAATCAGTTATTTAAATCTACAACAAAGGTAAGCATGTTTATTTTATTTTTAAACATTACAATTTTCAAAGCTGTGAATTCATACAAATGTATCACGTAGGAAATAAACTATATAATCTGTTAAAAAGTTTGTGTGAAGTTTCAAACTAGTTCATCCAGTATTTTAAATTTTTTTTTGAAATGCAGTAAAACAAGCTATACGGCACATATATCGGTTTAACACATCTTGGCATTGAGAGTTAAGTACAGGTGTAAGTATTACTTCCAGAACAGTAAGATATACACTAGCAAAAAATGGTCTCATTGGATGTGTAGCTGTTCAAATACCATTATTTAAGAGGGAGAAATAAACCAAAAGGCTGAAATGGCCATCAAACTTAAAACAATAAGAGCAAATCTGAGGGAGGGTGTTTTATACAGATAAATTCATATTCTTTACAAACAACCAACTATAGTTTGTTCAGTAACAGAGGAGAGAATTAAAACATGTAAAGTGAAGCATGGGTAGCATCTCGGCTAATGAAGTGGAGATATACACAAAAATTGATGGCATCTATACTGCTGATAGGTACAAGATGATTCCATCGTGCTATTCCTTTGGAATCAAGACCTGTTGGGCAGGGATTAGTTATCCAAATGACAGTAATAACAACCATGGCTTGATCTGCACATAGTCTCAATATGAATATTAATGCTTTATGGATTGATGTGGAAATTAAGAAGCTGAAATGGCTGATTTGAGATGGACAATGCAAGGCAGTTGGAACTGTATTTCATAACTATACATTAAAACATAGTTCACTGTTCGGTAAGGAAATGCAAAACAACTTGCCTGTCTTTTTTTTTGCATTATATCTAAAGGTTTATTGTATTAACAATATATTGACCATTTATTTGCAATCACTCGATTGTGACTGATAAGTTTCCATAAATATTTCCAATGCTGTATGTCCATGTAAAAGCTAGCTTTTAGTTAATTTGCTATATAATTATCAGTTTTTGTTTAATTATAGCAGTGCAGTTGTGATAATTGATTAGTAGTAAAAAATTTATAGAATATAACAAACGAGCTTCAAAGCTCACTTGTATGTACTATTTTATTCTACATCATAACACTATTTCAATTTTTTTTTATTATTTTATATGTAATTATAACTATCTGTGATTTGTAAAAAAAAAAAGTAATTCACTTAACAAAACTTGAAGGCTGAATCTTTTCAAGTTACTGTTAAACTTGTATTTTTCAATTTTTTGATGGATATTAGGAAATAATTGAGAGAGACTGGTATTAAGCAGAATTTTCAAATTTACTAAGAGTTTAGCAAAGTAACGTATATCTTAAACGAAGTTTATTTTGCTCATTTGTGAGCCCAATTTAAGTAAAAACATAGTCATTTGGTGTTTTTGAAGTTATAATTATGTTACAGTGATCAAGAGACCTATCCAATAATATTACTCACGCCAGCGTGTTGATGGTATAACTGTTTTGTTATATTGCAGTTATCTAATTTTATCTAAATATAAAACTTGTTTATATTTTGTATCAGTCTTGATAATATTAGGTGAAACTTATCAAAACCACTCTCCTGGAAAAATTTATAAATATTTTTATTGAACAGTTGTATCATTGATAGTTCTTATGCACTTCACATAGGAGAATAGTGTTAACAACAGAATCAGTATTTTTTGTAGCCTCATCCTGAATGGAATGATGTATTATTTATAAATGGCATAATTTTTCAAATTATTAATTAATATAATTAAGTTTTTGTTTTTAGATTTTGTCAGATATAATCTTTATTTTATACAAAATATTGTTAAATTTAAATTAGTATGCAAGTATTTTCTAATGTTACTTTCTCTTTCTTATACTTAGAATATGTTTTTGCACTACTTGCCTGTTTATAGAAAAATGAAAAAAAACTAAATTCATTTAATTAAAATATTGTGTGCCCGATATGGCGGCATGTTTTTCAAACATCTGATTTCCTGTATTATTCCATGCTACATAATTGCTCTTTGTATGTGTAATTGTTTCTCTTTTCTTTTTACTCAATCAGTCATGGTTTCACTCCCAGGTATGGCCCACCTACTAGAACAGAGTATCGTGTTATTGTTGAAAACCTCAGTAGCCGTGTTAGTTGGCAGGTAAGCTTCCGTCGGCCCAGGTGCTGTAGGAATTTAGTAAAAAAGTGAATAAAAACTGAGATTGAGTTGAAACTGTCACCCATGCAAGATTTTTTAACTTCTTGGTTTTGGAGTTTATTAAATTGCATGTTTGAATAGCATAAACAGTTCAGTTTTAAAACTTTGTGGGACTTTAGTAAGAATATGTAAATCAGACTTTCATAATAGTTAAAAAAGGCAATTTATAAAACTTCCTATGCAAACTTCAGTAAACAAAAGTTTAGGTGTTCATTCTTTTCATACTGTAAAATAGGTAAAATAGGTTGGCCATTCTTTACTGTTAATTTTATAAAATTAAAAATCTTAAACTCAGATTTCTACTAAATACTCTACTAGGGAGCAAACACCCAAGATTAAAAGATTTTTTATTAACCCATCACTGCCAGTGGTTTTAATTTGGATAAATCTGACTTTAAATTAAAAAGATTAATAATTTATGAAAGTCACCCTGCCTGAAACAGACACTTCAAACACATGATAACCATAGGACATTTTAAAGTATAAATTAGTCTTTCTTGATTCATTTATAATACCATAAAAACCTCTACATAGCATAGCTATTTATGATGCTCTAATTAATAACACTTGCTCTAAAAGCCAGTTTTCATACATAGACTATAGAAGGCCTAAATATGTCATGTGTTAGGCTACCTTGTTGAAAGAAGTGGTGTAATAAAGTATATGTCTAAAGCATTAAAATGAGTGTAAATAGATAATATTTTTCTTACTCTATTTTACACATAAAACAAATTTCTGTCATTCTTTTACCAAATTATGTACATGTGTTCCAAAAAACTACACTCTGTCATGGTTTCTACTGTCAAAACAAATGTTAATAAAGTATGATCAAAGTAAAATTTTAAATCGTAACATTCTAGCTGTAATTTATTTTGTACATAATTTAGGGGAGTGAACAGAGTCATTGTTTTGTCCCTGTAACAACATGATCTAACAGGGTGGGAGCATTAAAATAATCATTTACCCTTATCATACCCATTATCTTTACCAATAAACCTTGTAATACCAGCATTTCAAAGCAAACAGTGAAGTTGTTGTATATGTTACAATTTTTTCAACTCCATAACATGAATAAACCCTTCAATTGGCCATATCCCTGAAATGTTATACAATATCTATTTGAATCTTGTATTGTTTTGAAGCTCTTTTTTACAAAACATGTAATTAAGGATGTAAATGCTGAAACAATCTAAATAGGTTTTGGCATTTTCCATCTCAAGCAATTACTGAAAACTTTGATTCATAACAATTTTCATTCAGAAATTTTCCTGACCAGTTATGGACCTTAGAATGTTTTTGTGGTATATGTGTGTGTGTGTGTGTTGGTCTTATATAATATACATTTGAATATTGTATTTTGAAAAATGGAGTTCCTGGACCTGGCTTAGAACAATGTTTTGATTAACAACTATATGGCTTCCGAGTAAGCTACACTCTGATCATTCAAGTTTGACTCATTGAGTGCAGATGATGCTTTTGGTTTCTCTCTCTCTTTGTTAACGAGGAAATTATTACTGTCATTACTGGATAAATATAAAATTTTAACATTTGTTATTGTTGTTTTTTTAAGTAAGTAAATTTTAGTTATTGTTTACAGACTTAGCTAAACTAATAATAATATATTGGACCTTATTTCAGACCATGTTTACAATATTTAAATTGAAGATATTTTGTATTCATTTTATTTTCTGTTTGTGTTGGCAAGTCTTTACATCTATTAGTTATATTGACAGAAACAAAATTTTCTGTATGAATCAGTAGAAATAAAAAATCTGAGTCTGGGATAATTACATGTATATACAAAGAACAGTTGTACCAAACTTATAAATATGCAAATTAGATTTAAATATAGGATTATAAAATAAATATCTTACACTGACCAGAGAAAATTGGATCCTCAAACAACTTGATCTCAAACATGAGAAACTTCTGTTTATTTGTATAAAAAAACAACTGCCAAATCTAAAATTCTGTAAAAAAAACAAAAACATTTGTTATTTTAGTTTTTATCTTGCAGAATTATAACTTAAAAACTGTTCCTCTTCATTTGATGAACTCCTGTGTTTACTTGCTGTAATCCGCTATTATGTCTGGTTGTCTGAAATTTCTGCTCTTCCAAAATTATGAATGTCTCTCCTGTCTTACCCTTTTGTGTCACTTTATATGCCCACGTATTACAGATTTTACTTCAACTTTAGGAAACATATTCTACAGTTTTTCAAGAAAGTTATTTTGACGCGTAGCACCTAAGTTCCGAGAGTAATTTATCAAAGACAATTGTAATGACAGTCTGTAAAGTTATTTTGTTGCACTTTACTGTACTGTTAGAGAAAATAATTTATCAAAGAGAGGTGTGGAGTGTAATTATTATATGTGAAGATAATGTGTCTTTCCAAGTCTAATGTATTGTTTTTACGGAAAGTGTTTATTAAAGTGACACTTGGAGGAGTGTAGTAATTACCTGTAAAGATAGTATCCTGCACTGGTATATTTATATATTAATCTCATTACATTAGTGTCAACTAAACTTCAAACAGCCTTATCCCCTTCATTTCCAGTATGCATTTTAAATTTTAGGCAATACCCACTAACTAATCATGCCAGGACCCACAAATTTATTTCCTGCTACATAGGTTTGTTTGGTAGATATTTGAACCCCAGTTCTGCATTTTGTATGTCATTTTGAGAATGATTTCTAGGAAGACTGAGAGTGTTGTCATTAAAGTTTAAAAACATGTGAATGTCTGGAAATTTTTGTCTGGAGAATACATAATCATTGAAATATTATATAAGATTGGATAATATGGTATATGGTTGACTTCTATAGCCTGTTGTACTCCTAAATAGGCTAAAATATTCTAAAAAATATCAGTGGATGTTTTTACTTTTTTTTTGACTTAAGTTTGCACCATCTTCATGAGCAAATCTGTTTCTTCTGCACTTTTATAAATGATCTTAGCACTCAAAGAAAAAGTTGAAAATGGAAAAGATTTGTACTCTTTTAGCTTGCTGGGAATGGAGGATCTCCTTTTTCAAAAGATGTTATATTTCTTGGATTTTCATCAGTAGCATTTGCCCAATTCCAGATTTTACTGCAAGCAATCCTTTTCTTGCATTGTACAAGAACTTATTCTGCTGGAACTAAAAGAATGCTGTCCCTTTCAGTGTTAAATAGTACTGTCTTGAAGATGTAACTTTGCATCAGGTGGCACCAGTTAACTTTCTTCTGGCTAAGGAGATTCCTGACCCTAGATGAGCCAAATGAACATCAGTCCATAGAACATAATTGGTTTTTCTGGCTTATGTGGATTGGTTGAATCTAATTGTAAAAGCATCCACCAATTCTAAAACTTCAGTGACAGTGTTTTCAACTTCAGGTTTATCTGAATGTAGTGTCTTTTTCTGAAGAGGAAGCTTCCATGAGGGTGCATAGCTCTTCTTCATAATGTTAACCCTTTTTATTTTCAGCTAGTGTTTTAGATTGCATGTTGAGAAAACTATTTTATATTTTCGAAATTGTACAATGAACTAGAGGAAATCTGTCTACAGAATTTTAGCTTTGAGTATAAAAAAAATGTGGACAACAGTGATTATGCATATAATTAGAAACAGTACACTGACAAGTTATAGTAAAATTCTTATTAAAGATAATATTGTTTTGTGTTCAAAATATGTATTGTATCAGGAAATGTAATAAAAGAAGAAATTACATTGTTACAAACTGTACACTACTGATAGTTTATAGGATATTGTAATTGTTGGTGTGTACATAAGAACAAAACAGGAGTGAATAGAGTAGCATTATTGTAAATATTTATATTACTTCCAAAAACATTGGAAATAGACTAAAAGAACATGTTATAAATTTCACACTACTGATAGTGTATAGATATTATAAATGAATAAGCAAATGTATGCAAAGTTTTTGTTTCATTTTAATTTATCTAATATGAAATTAAAACATTAATTTACCTAAGCTGTATGAAACTTTCAAGTATTCATTTTACCCTCTCTGAAAAACAACACCTTCGTCTTAACATCGAAAGGGTGTTTGATAAGTATGTTGGTGACATGAGTAACTCTTATTACAGAGTGGTTAGGAAAGCAGTTACAAATACCAATTTCCTGGTTACATCTAGCAATTTCTAGAAACACATACAAATCTTAGTCTTTTATATGTAAGAATAATAACATTATTTCAGCATATGCACCAGTTTGAATGTCTGTGGACCCACTTTGGAAGTTTAACATTTGTCATGTGAACACAAGTAAAATGTTGCAATTACTTTTCAATATACCTGGCTCTGCTGTTAGCAATGTCAGCATTATATCATAGCTTATAATTGATAATAGCACTGCAAAATCTGCTCTTGGTAATAATGTACTGTTGATAAAACTTGGTGGCAATAAGTGTACATACAAATGTTTCTTTGTTCCTATAACTGCTTTGTATGGCCAAAATAATTTCCATTGCTGTTGCCCATTTTATACTAACCCTTTCATATCTTTTATCAGTAGTATCTTGGAGGTCTGTTTAATAGATGAACTAGTATGATAATAAAAATTTGATAGGAAGGTGTCTTTATTCTAGTATCTCGGCTAATTATGACCCAAACAAATTTAATGGACACAAAGTTATATGTACAAATATTTACAGGAAAAATGCATTCACAAATAAGTAAGTTTAATAAATAGAAAGTTATCTCATGCTGCGAAATGTTCTTTCTGTATTTTGTGTGATGATAGTTTTTGTTTTCTCCAAAGTTCGTAAATCTATAAATAACGTGTAGTAATGCTACTGCAGCTGCATTGGTCTTGTTGATCTTGCCTGTGCATTTTGCATACCTATTATAAATCCATAAATGTTCAGATTTTGCAGTAGCCTTGGTTGTTTTATGGCTAATTTACTGTTCAAGTTGGTAAGGTGAAATATCAAAGAAAAGAATAATTGTGAAAAAAAAGAAATGTAAAATTACACAATTTGACAAAAAAAAAAATTGTTACTGATTTATTTTTAAATTTCAACAGTATTGCACTCTTAGTGACTTGTGTGTACAGACACAAGAATTTTATTTCATGGCTACAAATCTTGAGTGTATAATCTTGAAACATTTTAAAAATACTTGAAAAGAAACAGTCAAGGAGAGAAGTATTATTTCGTGATGTAAAAAAAATTAAAATAAATTTCGTAAGTTTAAAGAAATAACACTTTATGAAATGGTATAAAGTTTACATTACAACAGTAACAATTATATTGTTCTTCAGTTGTATTCGAGCACTTTTGTGCTATTCAAAACTACTCTGCAATTAACATTAAAACGTTTTCACCTTAAATGTTTTGTTTGTGTACAGTTTCTGGCATTTTTCGAAAGTAAAGGTATTGAATTTAGTAAATGCATGTATTAAACCGTACATATAGGTAAAAGTGTTAAGTATGGTCTTCACTTTACATTGGTGAAACTTGTGCTGCTATTGTCTCTTGACCAACTGAATATGGCTTAATCATGTAAGTTATGTGCATCCACCTTTCAGGAACAATGAGTTTGGAAATCTTAGTTTTCCTAGCTCACAAACGGTTTTTACATTAAAATGTCCAAAAAGAAATATGAGCTAAAAAAGTTACGAAGTTTTCCATTAGTTTATTTTTGTTTATTTAACAAAGATTAAACATGTATCAAATAATCAGTATTTCATTACCATAAGTTTTCTTTCTTGGAAAAGGCATGTATCCATTATGCAAGATTAAATAACATTTATTAAATTTTTGTTCCACTTTTTTAAATTTTTTATTTAGTATGTATTACCATGGCTACGTGTGAAATAGCAAAATATAATTATGTATGAATAATGATTTATAGCACGAGTTACCCCAAACTGTGCAGTTGTGTGTATTAGCAATTGTGCTTCTGGTTAAATACATCTGTATATTATAGCCAGTAGTTTTTGCTTGTCAAGCATTATAAAAAGCTTGAAGGCCATTGTGTGACTGAGAATTGTACAAGTTTCATAGAGATACATGAAAATTGTGATCATGAAATAGTATGTTGCACAAAAATGTGGATAAATTGTTTATTCATGGCAGTGGTGTAATTCATGATAAAAAGTCATCTGACGTGAAAATTTCTTTTCTGTAAAATTTATATAAAACATTACTTCTGCATTTTTTATAATTGTTTGCTATGCTACTGTCATATATATTCTTGATTAAGACATTGTTCTTAAACATGCATATAGATTATCACAGATTTGAGTTTTGTAACTGTCTGCTTGAATTTGTGGAAGTATGGGCATTTTTTCCCAGGATGCTTGTGATAAGATTTCATTTTTGGACTCGTTCCACTACGAGAGATGTCAGACTTGGAACAAATAAGTAGTAAACGTTGCATTTAATCATAGTTTAATATTTACAAGTCTTATGAAGAACTTCTTTCAAATAAAGTGGCTTATTTTGGGCCAAGATTAGACCACAAGTTTAACAATATATCATTATAAAAATTGGTTGATAACCAGTTAATTAGTTGCCAGTAATTGAGCAGCTAAATTTTTTCCTGGTGTGCTGCTTTATTTGTTGACAGTCTAGTTAAAGATGTGATAAATCTTTAGTATTGTGAATTCTGCTCTAGATACAACAGATTGCTGCTTTTGTGTGTGTGTGTTTGAAGGAAATACTGTTCTATTAAACCTGATATGTGTTGAATGATTCATAACTTGTATATGAAAAGGTTTAAAATACTGGGCTGAAGACAAATATGTGTCCATACTTTTTAACTCTTGATCTTAATTTTAAAACTGCATATATGGATCCACGTGAGCGCGCACTCTTTTTATCAAGATCACCATCTCTTTATACTTTTTATTAACTGGGAAATCCGTGCATTTGTGATGAAATAGAACTTTTGAAAGGGAATTTTTTTCTCCTACTGATTCATAGGAGATTGTGGAACAATAACCAGAAATTAAAATAGTCTAGAAAATATTTTGTTTTCCAAATCTTTTTATCAGATTTCAATGATGGAAAAGTTCAATTTTATCAGTAGCTTAATTTCAAATAAATATTAATTAATTAGCACATCCCAACATGAATTCAGTATACAGAAAAGCATAATGATATGGTGGGTAACTTCTTTTATTAATTTATCAAATTAAAAGCGTTACTCCAGCTAAAAGCCTCAGTGTAACCCTTTTGCTATAAAGAATAAATGGATGTTGTTTCTATATGTAATGTAAAACATGTTCATTTTTTCTTGGCTTAATTTTGAAAGTCAGTAAATTATTTGTTTTAGGTAAACAGGATTGGGTTTTCCCATGATTAGCTGGAACTTGTGGATGACTTTTATGGTGCACATTATTAAAGTACAACTTTTTATACTGATTATTGCAATGTTCTTGTGCGAGTTGAATGATCTCAAATATTGGCCATGCATGTTTTTCAGGATTGTTAGTTTTTGTACTGATTGCTGAGAAGTTTAACACAGGAACATTTTACAAATAATCTGACTCTTACATTGTTTTCACACACTATAGCTACATTCTGTCAATGTTTAAATATCTCTAACTAAACCTTCTGAGAATGAATTTGATCTTCGATGATACTTGAATGTGAGACCTGTTCACAGAAAAAGAAATCATAGAAAACAAATTATGTGCTATGGAACAACAAAATTAAACAAATTCATCTTATGAGAAAGTTCTCAAAATAGGAATGTGGTACATGCAAGATGGCTGAGGTTGGGTTTATGTTACTCTATGTATGGGAGTGCCATGTTTTAAAAATTACAGATACATGTACTAGATGAAAACATATCTTGGTCTTCAAAGGCAAATTTTAGTATTTGGAGAACCGTTTTGTTATCATGAAGATAAGTGTGATCTTAGCTTTGGGAACTTGTGTATTTTTTACTGGCATGTTGCACAAATCAGTCTCAAATGTGTAAAATAGTTACAACTAGGGTCTTGAGCATTGTCGGTTAAATGGTTCTTGGTGGTAGAAAGAACTACCTTGTTCAGACATCCTCTTTCTATGTTTTATATGTGGTGTGATTGTTATGGATATATTAAGAATCAATGTTTGATAGTAATCTTAAGAGTTAATTATGTAATTTTGAATTAGTATTTTTTTCTTCAGATTTTCTGTTTTTGTATGCTTTATGTTTAGCTTTGTAGATGTTAAAGTATTTTAAGAGCTAATGTTTTAAAGGTATTAGAATAGTCTAATAAATTCTATGAAAAACAAAATCGGTACCCACTGTGATGATATCAGAATATAAATGTTTATACACGGTGAATAAAGTATTTTTAAAGTTTCTGAAGTTGTAGCAATCAATAATTTTGTTCATTTGATTGACAAAAGATAATACTTTGTTTCCTTAACATATATTGTGCATAATAAATTCCAATAATAGTAGCCACTAAGTTGATACATTTGATTGAACAGAGAATAAGTTAAACTAATCCTTGTGGTTTCCTGAACCTTTCAAATGATGTACGTAATAATTAACAATGTGGCTTGCAGCTGTCTGGATCTCCCTAGATGTATGTGAGGGTCAATGAGCATTTGTTGTCTAAGCTGGTGTAGCCGCCCGCCGAAGGGTCATGTAAGTGGGTGAGAACACCTTCCTAAAGCTTGAGGTCTGGTTCCATAGTCTAAGAAGCCTGGCGTGTGTGCTTCCGGGAAGTCTGTCACTGATGGTTGTGACAGACTCCACCAAGGGGTCCATTTGATAAAGCCAGGCTCCCTGCTTGAATGCACTGTGGTAGTCGATCAGTCAGCCTGTCTGGCCTGTACACTGGTGTGCTAGCCTCTTTTTCCTAGGGATCATTTTCTGACTAGCAAGGTAACTTTCTGTCCCTTGTTTTAAGAAGCTAACTCAAGGTAGTTGCCTTTGTCTTTATTGTAAACTGAAAAATTGGCATCTTTATTAAGACAATAGGCAATAAATTTAAATTTTATATTGTGAATTATGCATCACTTTGTTTAACTTAAAATAATGCAAAAGTGTGTTCAGAATAAGAATTCCCACATTTTAAAGTTGTTGTTTCTATATAAAAGTTCCAGGTTTTTTTTTCCATGTAGAATTGCTTATTTTTCATCAGTTAAACATGTTTTTTAACTAAGTTTAATATTCACTGAAGGATCTCAAGGATTACATGAGACAAGCAGGAGAGGTTACTTATGCTGATGCTCACAAACAAAGAAGGAATGAAGGGTAATTTTTTATAAACTATTTAAATTTGAAACATATCATTCAAAGTCAGTGTATTAACAATAGTAACACTTTGAACTTTAATAATAAAGCATTTACAGACTGAATGTAACTTGTATCAGTACACAGAAAGTTAAATTCCTGTCTTTTGTAAAGAATTGGAACCCAGTTTTTCCAAACAAACTTATGGAAGCAATAATCACTTTGTAAAAGCTGTTAGGAAACTTTTTTTACATGTGGTTTCAACAACTTTTCCAAAGACTAAGCTTTTAACATTCCATTTATATTGAACATTTTTATTAATAATGTATATAAAAAACAAACTTGCCCTTACTCATTGTTTTAAGGATTAAAAAGTTATTGAATCTTATTTTCTTCAAATGAAAAACTTATAAAATGCATTTCTGTAGCATCAGTATCTATAAAGTTCTTACTGAATTATTTTAAACAATAGAAATGAAAGTATCAAGTATTGGCTGGTTTCAGAACTATTCCACACACAAACATTAAATATTTGTTTTTCAGTGTTGTGGAGTTTGCAACATATTCTGACATGAAAAATGCATTGGACAAGCTGGATAACACTGAATTAAATGGCAGGAAGGTCAGATTGTCTGAAGACAGATCGAGGAAACGAAGGTGAGCTGGTGTCTATATATTTGTTGTTAGTTTTATGCATTTAAAGCGGTGTTTTCAAACTTGATTTGGCAAAATTGCTGTAAAAAAGTTCACATTATGCAATTTTAATTTAGTCTTCTCATAGTGTATATTTAAGAATGCATTTTATTTAAATTTTGCACAACTATAACATTTTCAGTTTGTTTGGTTCATAACTGGTTCTGAACTTCCCACTGTAGGGACCCAAAACAGTGGAGTAAAAATATAATTAAGTGAGGTAATTTTTGAAGGATAACATAATTTATTTAACAGGTTGTAAACTACCACTTCCTCTCCATACTTAGCCTTTTGTAAATGGTCCCAAATTAACTACCCTTTACACACTATCACATTTGTGTGTAATCATTCTGTAGTAGTTCCTTTTTCTGTTTAGTTTTCCATACATTGAAAGTGTTGCCTTTGTTTAGTGTACTTAGCAGTGGATGCTGTTCTTGTAAACAGTGCTAGTAAAATACTGGATGTCCTACTATTAAGTTTTAAAAAAAGTTCCTTTTCTGATTTGCCTGATCATACTAAGGCGTTATGTCATTGTAGCGATAAATACTTTCCAGGTTTTTATACTGTGTGATGATGATATTTATCAAAATACTAGGTAAGTAATTTTAGCTGTGAGGCAAGAATACAAATTTCATCCTTTACCATAGCTTATCTATATAAGATTTAAAGTATATAAAATGTGGTATGTTTTTAAAATATTTTGAATACGTGGTGTTCTAGGTCTAGGTCAAAGTCTCGCTCAAGAAGTCCTAGTAGAACTCCAACGAAAAGCCGTAGCAGATCTCGCTCCAGGTCTCGTTCTCGATCAAAGTCTGCATCAAGAAGTTCTAGAAACTCCCACAGTAGATCCCAGAGTAAGTCTGTCAGTCCAGAGAGAAAAGAGAAAGCCTCAAAGAGTAAGTCCAGGTCAAAATCTCCCACACAGTCACCTAAAGGTGGCTCACCTCCACCAGAAGAAAATGATAGAGATGATAGAGACTGAAAGCAACATTGTACATGTCGTATATGTGTGTATTAAATTGAACTACATGTACAGCCTTTTTGTTTTTTGCACATGTTCATATTCATAGACCTAAGACAATTTTAAAATAACCTGTTATTTTGAGATCTTTATGGCACTATTATCAGCAGGAAATGTATTTTGTATCTTGTGCCTTTTTAATTTTGATTTAGTTACAAGAGTTTCCATTTTATTAATGTGAAGAATTTACTGTAAAAAAAAAAGTTTGTTTTTTGTACATCTGAAAGTAAATATCACTAACTCTGTGAAGAGTGCTTTCCTCTGAACCTGACATGTTGGAGCATAGAAATTGAATATTATGTAAGTATTATGTATTAGTAAGTTTTTATTATTTGGTACACTGTAGTTTTTATTAAAATCGGTGTTCTGAAAGTTTGAATGATACAAAGTGTAGTATTTTTTTCCGATTTAACTTTAGTAGTACAAATTTTTTTTAGAGATATTAAATAGTATTGTAAAAATTTGTTAATGTTAGATAAGATGTACTGAATCTTTTAAAAATCTAATAAGACTTAAGCTACACAACACCTTGATTAAGGTTTAGCAAGGTAACAGTGGATATTTCTATGGATATACACAATCAAACTGTCATTTCTACTTTTCTTGAAATCATATCCTTTTTTAATGTAGTAATGAATAGAATGAGATAGTCGAGAAGCATTACAAAGGAAAATGGTTAGTGTGTATGTGTATTTAGTGGGGAGACTTGATAGGTAAGTTTTGTGCAAACAAATGTCCCTTTAATGTCAAGTGAAGCCTAAATTAGAACTACCAAGTTGTAGACATAAACGTGGAATTATCTATATGCATTGTTGGGAGATTATTTTGAAAAGGTACATTTCTATTGACATGCATGCACTCACATTCTTCTTGGTGACTGTCTTGTTATAATTCACAAGCATACACATTTCCAAAGAATGAGAAAGATTGGTTAAGAAATTCAGATGTCTTAAAAGGTGTAATTTGCTAAAATTCAAGTCAAGGCTTAAAACCATGAACAATCATAATGAACACTTGATATTAAATAAGGCCACTCTCTCTCTATGTTAAAAGTGTTATTTCAGTAGCATTAACTCGTTAAGTTGTCTACAAGAAAAGTCGTTCAGAAGTTTTTCTAATCATGTACCATCTTTTTTTTTTAATTTTCATTAAGCTTTTAACATCAGAATAAATTTACGAATGGGGTTATTATATGATCAAGACATTTAAGTAGTAGCTGTAATATTACTAATAAAAACTGATGGTGTCTGAATTTTTTTAATAACTATTTATGCACCAAATCATTTATTGGTTCTAAATACCGTATACTACCGATGGTCCGGTACCTCCTTTAATTCAGACAAAATTACTAGAGTGCACTTGAAATTTCTGTGACCACCAGAGTAGTTCACTGGGCGTCTACAGATGGCATTGTGTGTGGCGCTCTCTCTCTTTTGGGAAAGGCTACTTACATTTTAAGTAGATATATCACTCTTTAATTGAGTTGACAGGTGAATTAAGAGCACTTTACCTTCGTAAAGGAACAAGGGCTAATGACTCTTCATTTTCCGTATAAAAAATTACACAGGGAAAGATCAAAGCACATAAAACAACTTTGATTGGATGAAATGTTTAAAATCATAGCCAAGAAGAATGTGTGTGTCAAAGCAGTAGGCCTACATCCGATAATTCCGTGGCTTTAACTTCAAGTACCCCGGGTATTTCCCCTGCAACATCACAAATCCATGATGAAACTTCCAGCCCTTTGTGATTATCTCTACAGTTCTTGTAAAATTCTAAAATTTGCCACTTTGGAAGTGGTACTAATGCAACATTCTTTGCAAGTACAGTAATTAATAAACTTTTTCATTTATACTGTACTAATAACCCTGTATCATATATACCTGTACTAATGTATTTCATTAATCATTTAATTCACAGTTAATATTTGTTTTAAGTTTCTAGCAGTCCATGGTGCTTTAAAGACATGGGAGGGGAATAATTAGTGTTACAGAGGTGTATTGTTGAATTATTATTAAGCAACCTCTGTTGGTCCGGCAAAACAGATAATCAGGCAAGGCTCTGGAACCAAGGGTGCTGGAAAATAGGTGGTGTACCTGTATTTAAAACAGTTACAAATATTGTTAATCTTTCTATGATGGATGTAGAATGTACCTACATGTGTAACGAAAACTACATCTATTGAATGGCACCACAAACAAAAATCCATAAAAATCTCACATTTTGGATATTCAAGATCCACTCAATTTGAAAAATTACTATGGTATGTGCAACAACTCTTTCTTTGTTACAGAGTACAATTATAAATAAAAGTAATTACCCACACAATAGGAACGACTTTCACAACGACACTACATGAAGGTATCTTTATTGATGTAATTTTTAAATGTACTATTAAAAAACTGGAGTATTTGAAACTATTATTTTTTAAATAAAGGATAGCACTTTTAATATAATAAAAAATTACAGTTTATATCAGTAAAATTTTAATCTCTGTACATTGAATCCTTTAGATTCAGTAAGTTGCACACAACTAAAGAGAACAATTTGAATACTTTTCCTGTGCAGTACTTCTCGGACGAAATACTTTTTTTAGAAAATGTTCACATTTGTTAGTTTTTTAGAATTAGGTATGAATACTATGATTAGGAATTACTAGCACAAACAACTGCTCTTAGGGCAGCATTTATGCTAGCCCCACTAATTACTGCCAATATCCCATATGTACGATAGCTCAATATTGGTGGGTTCCTTATACTGCATCTTACTGAGAAGAAAACTGACCCCATTGCCAAGTGAAATCTCCACTTTCTATGTAAAATAACAAAAAAGCTCTTACACTGAACTCATTTAGTATTAATGGCCAAAAAATTTCTTTTTGAATTTCACATATTTGTAATTTTTAGTGTTCCTATGAAGAATAATATGTACCATGACAGCTTTTCTTGTGTATTTAAAACTTGTGCTTCTGGCCAGTTTGACATATTAAAACCTTATAAGTTATCACTAGATATATTCCACTTGAAATAAAGCTTATCTGTAAAAAGAAATACTTGATAATTATAAAAGTGGAGGCTTGTATTGAAATATTTATGCATTGACCCCCAAAACTTTCTTTTCATTGTAAGATAACTTGTGATGCCAGACATTTAACCGTCAAATTACAGAATTTACTTGCTTTCCACATGATACAGTTCTGAAGTTTAATGTAGTTTGACTTAAAATACCATAACATTTGTAGGGAAGTTATTTTTTGCTGAATTAATGTTGTTGAAGCAAAGCAAGTTGATTGTTTACAGTAGATTATTTTAAATGTGATAAAAATACTCCACTGTTTTGTTTCCACATATTAAAATATTGATGTGCATGTATCATTATTATGTAGTTTTTACCATTTAGGAAGTTGTGGAACAACTGGGATTATTTTACCAGATAGGTTTAGATAGTTAAGGTGAATTCTTCCATGATTTTGTTCAAATAATTTGTATTAATACTCCATACAATAAACTAAAGGACTTGTTATTACTATCATTTATGCAGTAGCAATGATAAAAAAAAAAATAAACTGATGAAGTTTTCCAAATCCTACTCCATCATTTTCTTCATGTATTTATGCTATTTGCCAATTGAATAAATCTGATTTTACAGAAGTATATAGTGTATATGTCACCAATATTGCTCTTAATATCACTAGCACTAATAACAAATTAGCAATTTAAGATTGTTAAAGTAAACTCCTGTCAGCAAAAGAGAGAAGAACAGTTATAAATTGTATAAATACAAATTTCTTTACACAAGAATAAATTTTATTAGCTTGTACTGCAGGTCTATTTAAGTAGCAAGTTTATATTATAGAAGAATTGGTTGTGAATTAGGAAGTACCCATCAAGTAGGTGTAAAAGTGGGCACTTTTTTTCTTATCTAAATTCATGGTAGAACCTGCATCCAAGTAAATTTTATTGCTAATGAAAACATTCTGTAAGATTAATGCATTTTTATTATTATTAAAATTTGAATCAGTAAAGCAATATTAACTGTTCTATGAAATCTAAGGATAAAGAATTAATCTTAACTGAAAATAGTTAGAATAGTTTTTCAAACATACCTTATAATTTAACAAAAATTTCAAGAAATAAGTATTTGAGCTAAGGGATTATATTCCAAGCTTACTTGACATGAAATTATAATTTAAAAAAAAAATTTTTTTTTTTTCCTTTACATAATAATAATTGACCAAATTGTTTTAATATAATTCCTGGAATTTATTTTAAAACTACCTTTTGTGTATTCGAAGCCAATACTAATCTTATAAAGAATGGATATCCC